TAGACTCCCATACTAGACTCCCATACTAGACTCCCATACTAGACTCCCATACTAGACTCCCATACTAGACTCCCATACTAGACTCCCATACTAGACTCCCCATGCAGGTCTCCAACAACCATTGACCCATTGCATCAAAGCCTTGAATTGATGGGAGAATGATGTCTTTTAGCACTCATTGTTTAATATAGGTCAAACTAATCTATGGCACTGATCTGAGACCATCTCTAGTGGCTCACTATTCTACTTACCCAAGTCTTCATCTCTGATCCCCAAGAAGCTCTCAAGCAAGTTATCAACTTTCTTCATTGCAACTTGCTCCCATGCAGTGGACTGAAGAAGAAAGAGAAAAATGTTTTATTTTATAAGCCATATGGGACACCATGAATATTTCTGATTAAACATTTCCAGGACTCTTTGTTATTTCACATTACCTCAACATTCTCTAGAACAGGAGGTCCCTTTGACTTTAGCCTTAGTGTAGCTTTACCACTTCCTACAGCCTTTTCGGTTTTACCATCATCACTTCCTTGACTCTTTCCAGATGACCTTGGTCCAATACCCTCTGGAGAAGTAAACAACTTAGTCATCTGACATGCATGAGGATCCAAGAAATTTTACAAGGGGTTCAAAGGGCAGTCTTAATAAAGTAGTAGGATGGCCTGTGCAAAAATCAAACTTACCAAACCCTCGCTTTGGTTCCACTAGGTGAAAAGTAATTTTGCCTTCAACATCCACTTCCCTCAGCATACGTGCAACATCGAAGTGTCTACTTCCAACAACACACTGCCCGTTAATGTATTCAACATGATCACCAACACAAATCTGTGGACTCTTGTCAGCGATGCTACCCTCTTTTATACGCTTTATAAACGCTGATCCAGCACCATTGTCTGTGATAGTAAGACCAAGAGATGGTTGGTCTTTTAACACTTCCACAATCTTTTTCTGCCCTTTGACATGTGCAAAGATAAAATCATCCAGCCCAATCTGCCCTCCTAACAGTCTATCCATATCAACTCTATATGTATTTAGAGTACAGAATAAAATCTGCAACAAATAGAATTATAGACATATTTGAATAAATGAATTGTCATAAAAAGAAAACTTAATATTTAAAAACTAAATGAAGTAGATTATACCTTGGGTAACTGTTTTCAATAATAATGTGAACTTGCCTGGAAGCTACATGCATGATCATCGAGTAATTGCGAGGGTGTAACGAACTTATATAATTATATTTATATATATATTCATATCTATTTAAATTTCACTTTCTTTTACTATATTAGAACATAATAGGAAAATCACTACACAATGACTTTGAATTAACTTTTTTTGATAATCTATACTTCAGGAAAAGCATTTGATTAAAGCATATTTTACCATAGTCAATTTATTCGAAAAGTATAGATCAAGCAGAACATGCAAATGAGTACACAAAGCTAAATAACTTCAATATTACTAAAGAAAGATCAATGGAGAATAGTTTGAAGCTTTCATCTTACTCAAATTAAAAAACAAAGAAGTTTTTTTTCCACATGAAAGTATTTTCAAAGACAAAACTAACTTTTCTATATATTTTTTCCGATCTACATTGAATGGGGTTCTTACGTGTTAAGTAAATAAATTGATGCCGTTTCCAATATAACAAGTAAGACAAAAAACTCGAAGACTCTACAGGTACATGTAGATAATGTCATACGGGTGTAGTTTATCAGTTAAGGAAGTACACAAGTGTTGAAGAAGCTTAAATTTAATTATATCTTTGAGATAACAGTCTGTTTATCACCTGCGACTGCCTTCACTAATTTGAAAGCCAATAAAAAACTACAACTAAACCGTAAACCGTCAACATCCAACTTTACAAGCATCTACTTACGTCTTCTGCGTTAATATGGAAGGTGTTTGCGATTTTTTCGTACAGTTGTTTTACATTAGTAAAACCTTCCACCTTTCCGGTCGGACTGCCATGAGCGAGTTGGCAGTAAAAAACAAATCGCGGAACTTGTGTCTCAGCCGTTGGGTCGGGTGGCGGCACTGGTGTTGGTTTAGGCACATTTTGTTCTCGTTGTTTTCTCATTCGTTGTCTAGAAGCAGGACTTGGTACAGCTCTAGTTTGTTCTGCTACTTGTGGCTGGATATTCTTGGCGTCTTTTGAATGTGACTTTTGAGAAGTTCCAGGAGAAAGTTTTCTGTTTTCTGTTCCATTATTGCCAACAGCTCCACTAGACTTTACTTCTTTGCGAGTTTTTCTTTCTTCGTTGGATTCTTTTGGGCTGTTTTCAGCCGAAAAGTTTGATCCTCCTCTCTTAAATAACGGCATTCCTAAAGATAAATTATAAAGACGCCATAAAGTGATGTAGATGACCAAGATACGTGAAGGTCTCGTCCTAAAGTATTCATTCTAGAAAAAGGAATTAGTCACCAGGGATGCGCCAACATCATGATGACGTCATTCTTTGTTCAACCGTCCTTGACCAGACAAAGCCCAGGCAGAGCCCTATAGCGCAGCCCACTGATTCTAAAAATAGCTTAAAGATTCGGACAAACATTGCATTCTGTTTAACTGCTAAGAGGATTATACGAACCGATTTTAATATTTTTACTTAAAGTTACAATAATAACCCATGTAAACTAAGATCAACTGCGATCGGCTGTGAAAATTATCTGCTGAAAGTAAACTTGTAAGTTTGTTTGTCCGAATTTCACCTTTGTCTTCGTTTTTATGACGTCACGGTTGTGCAGCGCTATTATAATATGCTTACACCTATATACCTATTTCAAAAAATGTTGTTGTTCGGAGATAAAATGGGCGAGCCGGGACTATAAAAACACTTTTTATGACCTTTTATATTTCTTGGGCTAAAACAAGAAAAACCACATTTCGAACCTAAAGGTCATGCTTCACATACCAACCTAAAAGGAAACTGTGTTGTTTGGCTGCGAATATATATTATTACATCTCGCAGTGGTCACTCGATCTCAGACTTCAGATCTCAAACCAACAATGTTTTTTGAAATAGGTGTATATCAGAAAATCAACTTTGTTGTTGTTGTTGTGTATTCAGTCAGGAACAATGTTAAAGGTACATATTGAACTCAGAAGCTTGCCATAAGGACTTTTCAGCAACGATGTAGATAATAAGGCTGCGTTCATGATGTATGGCAGAGGGGGGCAAGTGAAATTTAGGGGGGATCGGGAAAATTTTGGTAGGAAAAAGGGGGGATAGGCAATTTTTTATCAGAAAAATGGGGGGATGCACAATTTTTGGAAGAAGCTACAAGCCTTGCTTAGGGGGGATCATATTTTTTTGCATGACTTTTAAGGGGGGGGGGGGTGTTAAGAATCATTCTGGACATTTTACTTGCCCCCCTCCCCTCCCCTCTGCCATGCATTATGAATGCAGCCTAATAAAAAAGTAAATATGAGAAAATGATAAATATTGCACATTTTGGCCTCAAAACAAGATGTATAAAAAATATCAGAATCCTTCAAATTTCATTGATACCCTAAAAGAGGGTCCTAGAGTCATCCTGCAGGGGTAAAATGGGAGATGGGATTTGCCTTCTTGGGGCTCGAAAAATGGGATTTTATGCACCGGGAATGGAATTTACAAACAAAATAAACAATCAAAACTGGGAATGGGATTGAGATTTGAGCAAAACATACGCTGGGAAAAACATGCTATGGGATTTGGTCAAAATGAGGGCTGGGAAATGGGATTAGGGCCCCCTTCAGGACCCTGCTAAAACRACCTCTGGGCAGATCTAAGTTAGGGCACAGTGCTAACTCACAGATCAAACCCTTTAACAACTTCTGGGCTGATCTACGTCAGGGCTAAACTAACTCACAGATCGAATCCTGAAACAACCTCAGGGCTGATTCAAGATAGACTATGGCTAACTAACAGGTGTGAGGCCCTGCCCAAGTTCATTAGTGTTTCTAAATTATTTCGTGTTGTTTTCTTAAATAAAGATATTATTATCATTAATAGATAAATTTAATGTGTTAGGTTTTACAAGGGTGAGCTGTAAACAACAAAGAGTCAAACATGCAAGCTAGCTACCCAAGCATTCAAGGGACTGTTTGCTCATTACGTCGCAGGGGGTGGGGTTGGTGGTTTTTGAAAATTGGGGTCGGGGCATATTTTGGAAAAAAAAGTAATTTGAGGGGGTAAACTTTGTTTTTGATGAATAAAAAGGGGGGGGGGTAAACTTTTTAAGAAAAATAGTGGGGTGAATATATAAACAGGGGGGGTACTTTTCAAAAGCATCCCTCCAATGAAAACCACCATTCTCCCCTGACCTAATAAACGAACGGTCCCTTACAACAACCAAAATTCAATTAACTTTACAAATCAGTAGTTCATAAAGATCAAATTAGTGGTGTTATATTAAGTGAAGTCAAAGTCATCTCTCAAGTCATTGTATTCCATCACATGTTTTCTTATCTTTGAAGTGTCTGTCCAGGTCACAAAGTCCTCCATACTTCTAGACACTAAAAATGCAGGATCCGTAACGACTTCTGGACCTACTCGTATGTGTCCCTGTTCGATGTACTTTACTGCATCTTTTATGGCTTGTGCCATTCTCAGATTCACCATTATTACCGGCAATCTTCGTCGACAAAATGACGAGGTATTAACTTTTTCGCATTGTACAAGACCTTTCTTGCTGGTTATTAAACCCATGTTATAAAGTTTCTCTAGAAGTTGATCGGTTGCTTCTATACGAAATGGATCCTTAGCATCAAGATCCTTTATCTTGTTAGCCAAAGACTTGACTATCCCGCTTAATTTGTTGTATTTAGTGTAGTCTTCTCTCTTTTGAATGTGGTATTTACGAAGAATCTTAACTTCTCTCAAGTTGTTGTCGCTTTTCCACGATATAAAATCAACTTTTTTCAAAAGCTTTTGTTCATGATATTTTAGTTTTCGTACCATATTGGATTCTCCTACCTATTCTTGTAGTATTTGTTTGAATACTCCTAAAAATCCAGGAGAAACACAGACTACAGACTATAGCACGTGTAGGACGCCATGTTAGATCCTTCGATCATCCAAAGAGACTGAGCACTAGAAACACCGCTGACCAGAGTAAAGAATCACACGTGCAGATGTAACATACATAATACTATAATATATTATTAGTTATCCATAATATTATACAGTCATGCTTTACCTGATTGGATTAGGATTAGGTGATGCCAAAGATATAAGTGTCAGAGGTCTTGAAGTGGTAAAGAAAGCAAAATCGGTTTTTCTCGAGGCCTATACATCAATTCTCTCAGTCGACAAGCTTGCACTGGTAAGTTTACTCATAGTCAAAGACAAACTAGTGTATCTTCAATGCTGTGTTCTGATTGGATGAGCTACTACTAGGCTATATTAAAGTTGTAGGTTAGGCTTGGAATGCACTAGTGACATATTGGATCATAACCATAAACCTAACCTGCCGACATAATCATAATCATAATCATAATCATAAGAACATGCTCACCTATTTTCTTATGTTTATGTCGGTCTTTAAAGGGCAGGACATGTTTATGTTTCAGTGTATCCCCACTACAAAATAAGCGACATAACACTCTTACGATTATGTTTATGATTACGATCCTTATGTCACTAGTAGCCAACTAGTAGAGAAGTGAGTTTTAAATACCAAAAACATGTAATTTATCTTTAATCAACCTCTTTACCTTCATATGCCGTGAAACTGCCCATTTCAGACCACATGACATTCCCTTGAGAATTGTTCTTTTTTGATAAACATTTTATAATATTTACACATGAAAGAATCCACCCCCAAGAGGTCTATATCTCTGATCCACTAGTTGGATTTGACTACAACTATAGTCAGTTTGCATGATGGTGTCATTTCACTACCACTTCCAAAATGCTTCTCAAAATTTCTTTCTCATTCAAATTTGTATTTCCTCATGAGAATAGTAAGACAATTAACTGAATGGAAGAAAGTGTGCAAGGGAGTCTGGTAGTGGTAGTATTATGATTCTATAATACAGGTGTCCTAATTAGTCCTCATGGCCTATTCTGAAGCAAATGTAAAATGTCAGTTGACCATTGAAAATTCTTTAAAATCAATGAAAAGGAATCGCAAAAGATATCCAAGTGGTAGATAAAAATAAGAATACTTGTCTTTGGTGAGAAGGTTTGTAAAAAGTAAAGTGAAATGTAGGGAAAAAATGAAAACGTGTGAATCTGTCTAATGTAGCCCATTCTGCCTTCGGCCTCATGGGATATTGACTCATAGCCCTGGGGGGAAGGGGGGGTACTCCCCTATATTTGCTATATGGGTACATGCCACCACACAGAGTATGGTTTTCAGCGATTCTACTCTGGAACAGGGTATGTGAAATCTCACTCRCTCTGGGACAGGGAATCTATTTTCGCAAAACCTGAACAGGGTAAGGTTATCAGCGATCTTGCTCTGGAACAGGGTGTGAATTTATATATTTACATAATAAATGATGATGACGACACTAAATATGGATAATTACAAACAGCTCAATCAATCTATAGCACACACAGCTACGTAGAATTTTACCTCTGAATATTGAATCCGTTTTGCTTTATGTAAAAGATATTTTCAAACTTTATGGAAACTGCACGTTTTTATTTATTTTAGGAAGAGTTATATGGCCGTGAAGTGATATTGGCTGATAGGGAACTAGTAGAGCAACAAGCAGGTATTTGTGAAATGCAAGTCAAATCTTAGTTGTAATTATCAACTTAACCTTGTTAGTGTTGCGGACTTTTTTAGATATTATCCTTCAAGATGCAAAATCCGAAGATGTTGCATTTCTCGTAGTTGGAGATCCATTTGGGTGAGTTGCATAACTTCAATGAACCGCTAAAGCCTGTTTTCACTTGTGACATAAATAGAGTCAGAGTTAGAAGCAGCTTATAACAATCAGTCAGAAGCACATCAAATGCAAAATTGGAATGAATTGAAGGTTTTCACTTAATTTCATGCATGAAATGCTTCCAACTCTATTTCAGCAAGTGAAAACCAAGCTTGAACCACCGCCACTGCCACCGCCACCGCCACCGCCACCATGACTATCACCAACACTACCGCTACTGTTGCTAGCAGTACCACTACCAAAAATACTACAACATACTGCATGCTACCACTAGTACCAGCACCACCACTTGCACTTCTACTCCCACTACCACCAGCGCTACTGTTACTATAATAATAAATAAGAAGAGATAATTAGCTAAAAACTAGTGTGAGCTGCGTGGGTGTTTCTAATGAAACAGTAATGATAAAAGGGTAAATTATACACCGTAAAAAGATGAAAAAACTTACTGTTATTTCAGACGCTAGTCCTTCATCCTTTTAATCTGACGAAGGACTAGCTTCTGAAACATCAGTAAGTTTTTTCATCTTTTCACGGTGTATGATATGAACATATCCACATGAAATATGCGCATTATAAATATTATTATTATACTATTATATTATTATATTATTATATATTTTACCCTTTTATGATTACTGTAATAATAAATAATGATAGAATGATGACTTTCATTAATTACAGGGCCACCACACACACTGACCTTGTCATTAGGGCTCGTGAACAAAACATTCCATATAAGGTACTGCATAATGCATCAATATTGAATGCTGTTGGATGCTGTGGTTTACAGGTAAATCATTGTGCTTCTTATGCATGTATGTTTCGCTATTTCTTGAATTATTATTCCCCCAACACTTTTTTCATTCTTTCTTTTTCTTTTTTAGCTATACAATTATGGAGAGACCGTTTCTATTGTTTTTTGGACAGATGATTGGAAGCCTGACAGTTTTTATGACAAAATAGCAGCTAACAGAAAGAGAGGACTTCATACTCTTTGTTTATTGGGTAAGTAAATATTAACTATTTGGTACTTGTATTAGAAAAGCAATGTTGTTCATGTTAAATAGCTACACATAATGAAGACATTAAAAAGGCCACAAAGGGTTATTTTAGCAAGTTTAAATTTATAAATTTATAATTTTTTGTTTATCAGATATTAAAGTCAAAGAACAAAGTGTTGAGAATCTGATGAGGTATGATGACCAACTTACTTGTTAGCAAACTTGGTTTTTGTATATTTATCTATTATTTTTTTGTTATTGGTACAATAGAGGACGGAAAATATATGAACCTCCACGCTATATGACTGTTAGTGAAGCTGTCAAACAATTACTTGAAGTTCCAAAACTTCGCAATCTGAATAAGGAAGAAGCAGGTAAATCATTGACTAATACCTTCTCACCATGCAGCTGAAATAGAAAACGTGTGAGTGTGCTGTGTTCAGTTATTTAGCATGCTGGGGTTGACAGAACACAAGAGAAGTGTTTGACAGAACACAAGAGAAGTGTTTGACAGAACACAAGAGAAGTGTTTGACAGAACACAAGAGAAGTGTTTGACAGAACACAAGAGAAGTGTTAGGAGAAGCACGACACTTCTCGAGTGTTCAGCCAATCCCCAAGTACTTTATAACTCCACACAGCACAGCAAGCAAGTTTTTTTCTCTTTTATTAAATACAAATTACACTAACCATTATTTTAGATAGGAATGACGGAACTGAAAGTGAGCACGCATGCTGTGTGCTCTCATAAAGCATGCTCTCCCGTCAATCAGAATTTGAGTTTTATAACCGTTATTTTATAATACCTTTTACATTACCCACAAATGCAAAGTGGAATCTAGTAAGCATGCCAATGATTGCTGGTTTCCTTGCTCTATTTTAGTGTGTATGAATTCTGATTTGCTTTTAAACTTAAACTGTTGTAGCATATGATGAAACTACACTTGCAGTGGGATTGGCCCGTATAGGGAGCAATGAGCAACAAGTAGTCTTTGGGACAATGAAAAGCTTGTTATCACATGACCTTGGACCTCCATTACATTCCCTGGTAGTTCCTGGGGAAATGCATTTTCTCGAGAAAGAAATGCTATATAGATTTGCTGTTGATATCAATACAGATGAAACTTAGAATAAAAATACATTGGTTACGATATTTATTGATCAAATTGATTTGCCGAATGCTCATGTTTATAACAGTTCTGACAAAGAATCCAGGAGTCATTCAATTTCTAGTGGTGTTGCATCAACAATGCTATTTACACACATAGCACTGTTCATGCTAGTTAATCAGTACACCAGCAAGGCACTTTTATGTGGAAGCTAGTAGCTATTCTACTCTAGGTCGTAAGCACTTTTTTATTAAGTATAATCAAGCTTACAGATGTAGAGCAGCAAGTACTTGCAGAGTTAGTATATATTTAGTAGCAAAGCGAGAGTGCAGTAAATTTCTTTTATATTTTTTCTTTGTTTATTTTTATGATTTTCTTYGACATGCTTTCATAAGGTCTGGATACTGTGCATCCATACAATCTGGATGATGTATTCCACATGTATCATGTTCAAAGGACTTACATCAGTTCTGCTAAAGCCATTTTCTAAGGCAAAATGCCAAACAAATCAAGACAGCATGATAAGAACATAACCAGTTAGGTCAGTGAAGTATTATACATTCTACCTCCTCCACCGTGATTATTGTGGTTGTTGGGTAAATGGTCCAACTGATAACACTTATTGCTTAACTATACAAGTAACTCTAGTCCCACTCATCTGATTTACTGCTGAACACTCCATGCCAGTCTAGTAAAGCGATTAGTTGCTATGGAGGCGATGGCGCTTGTCATACCACATGACAGCTTGTTTGGCAATTTCAGCTGCTAATTTCGAAAAGGAATCCAAATGTAGCTGTAGTCCTGTTAATAGGTTTCTCTGTCCAAATATGGTAACATCAAAGGTAGTGTCTACAACAGTATTCATGAAGTCACTGGAAAACACTTGAGCCTCAAATGAGATGCTGTGAATATTAAACAAGCGTCCTGCAATCAGAAAACGTGCCTGACGAACCCATTGAAGACTGAGTTGCAGTTTTTGTAAGGCTTTTGCAGCGTTGTGATAAGCTAAGCATGAATCATTTGAGTAAGAAGCCAGCTTTGTGCACACATCTTGACATGTATCATTAGCTTGTTTGCAGTGGTCACGTAACGTGCGTTGACAAAGATAATGAAGGTTTGTTTTTTGTTGTGTACATTGTGATAACATTACGAGGCAACTACTGTCACTTAAACATCCAGAACAAGCGCTCTTTGTTGCTTTTCCGCATTCCTTTGATTGCCGTTCCACTTCTTTTTCTGCAACTTTGAGTTGCGACATTTCAACCTCAAGCATAGTGATCACATGTTTAGAGGCAAGACGAGTCAGCTGCAATAAAAAACATAGTTATCAGCAAGGAGTCGAAGATCATATAGACAAATCAACACCAATAATGACAAACTGCCGTTATGTGGGTGTGGCTAATCCATCAGCTAAAAGATTTAAAAAAAACACGCATGCATTGTTTTTCACGACAGAAAAGACACTTGTGCTGTTTTATATACTATAGATTATAGCGGAGGGAAATCTATTCACTATGTATAGATATATAACTTTAAGAGCTAGCTTTACCACTTATAGCTTATCATGTTAGCCAGCAATGGTTTGTTTGTAATTGACCTTATATTAATAAGACACCTGTTATTGTGGCGACCAGTTACAAGGCATGGAGCTCTCTGTGTGCCCAACAATGTTGAATTTAATTTGAGTATCTGAATTGTACGAACCTTTGAGAGTTGATTTTTGAATATGATCTTAGCCTTGAGATGTGTGGTATTGACTTGTTTGCTTTTGTTAGACATCAAATACACATGCGCATGTATTGACCTATGGATTTCCGCCACCATCTTGATTTGTGTCATTTGGCGACTTATCAAAACACTAATGTCATCGAATACGCCAAAGATACGGGAGTATGTGTCGATATGTACCTGGATAATGGAGTTCAAAAGAGTATTAGTATTAGTACTGTATGAACGACATGCTAGTGTCAGTCTTTTGCTCTGGGCGCTGGAATACTAGAACCAGATGCAAGAAAGAGGAACAGCTAATTTTCCGACATAGAACTTTACAACCTAATTTACTCCACGCGTGGATCATAATGATCCATATGCCCATTGTTGACTTTAAATTTTCACAGACCTGTGTTAGTGTGTGTGCCCCCGGGGGGGGGGTACTCCCCTATATTTGCTATACGGGTACGTGCCGCCCTTTAGGGTATGGTTTTTCGGCTTTTGGGTCTGGGGTAGGGTATCATTTTTTGACATTTTGTCTGGGATAGGGTTAACGATTTGGTCATTTTTGTCTGGCGAATAGGCTACGCTTTCTGCCGGCACAAAAACAATAAAAATTTTAGTAAATATTGATTGCAATCTATTGAAAAACCGTCATTTCCGTCTTTTAGTCTGGGATAGGGTGTACAATTCTTAGTTTTAGTCTGGGGTAGGGTACGTAAAATCAAAATTTTAGGTCTGGGATAGGGTCAGGGTTTTGAGGTCCTGGCGGCACACCGCTACCCAAGTTGGGGTGGTAGTACCCCCCACATCTTTTAACAGTTGAAGAAATTTACTCTGAAGAAGAAGAGTAGCCTCGAAATGTCTGATAAATGTATTTTTAAGCGCTGTTTAAGCGTATTAATTTTGAATCTATGTTGCTAAACTACGCCAAACAGTCCTTGTATACATTTTGTATGTATTTCTCATATTAGTAGTTATATCAGGTAATATGCAGGGTGTATAAGTCTATACCTTTAGGAATGCAACAGGATTTAATCGAGTTTTGATGTACACCACTGGTCTGTACTCCTTATCGTGCCGTAGTACATTCTCTGAAGGACTTGACTCATCAGGTATTTTCATGCCCAATCCATCTAGTTCAGCATCGATTAAAAACTAAACATACAAGATAACCAAAATGAACAAAATTTCAGTCATAAAAAATTAAAATAAAGCAATGATTAGATGTTTCTGCTGTAAACCGGCACATACCATTGTAGGAAGAAGAGAAACAGATGCATCTGTCTCTATCCCGAACAAGTTCATTGTACCACTCATTTCAAGACCAGGCCTGATGAAAGGACTACCTTCTAAACCAACATCATGTATTTTACGGGCTATTGATATCTGCATCAAGGCAATAAGAAAACATTTATATCCTATCTTGAGATAACACTCTATAAATTAGTTGATAGATAGATAATTTGTAACACCGTATGGTATGTAAAAATGAAACTGACGTTTCGGACGTTAGTCCTTCATCGGAGTAAACCGATGAAGGACTAACGTCCGAAACGTCAGTTTCATTTTTACATACCATACGGTGTTACAAATTATCTATCTATCAACTGTTTTACTAAAAACACCGACGCAGTTTACACTAGTTTTCACTAGTTTTCCACTCTATAAATTATGTTAGTAAGTGAATAAACTATCCATCCTTTTGTATTCTCCTTTGAAGGTTAAGATGTAAGTCAAATTTACCTTTAGACCCGAGGGGAATCCAGTGTTTGCCACAGCAGTGGGAAGCTGTACGTTTAAACCACATGCCTCCAGCAACTGCTGCAGACTAACTGATCCTACAGATCCATAGAAATAATGCTCTCTAATATCTTGTGACAATCCCAAGAATATCTGCCCGGTGATACAGCCATCCTGCAATAATAACATATCACTATAAATTCCAACATCAACACCACCTATCACGACCACCACCTATCACGACCACCACCTATCACGACCACC